ACCCGACCAAGTACCGTACCGAGAGCTGTACATTCATCTCGGCCAGGTGAGCACAACGTACAACATTCAAGGGGGTCACCCTTCCACTATACTGAGAGCAGTGCCGGTGAAAACGGAGAAATACAACGACGGTAGAACTGAGTCGTTTTCACGGCGGCAGTATAAGAGGTTGACTCAGGGCAACATACATGAGCTGATAATATCGGTGTTAGATATAAATCATAATCCCGTCAATATAGGATACCTCAGCATAACGCTGCACATAAAATGACCAGCGCACAAGGACCCGGGTTGAAAAAATGCATCAATGTGGGGATCTCCGACCTCGGGGACACACACGGATTCGACGCTCCCGGAGTAGATGGTAAATTGTACGCCTTGCAACTGACAAACAACATTTACAAACGCGTTGAAGTCCCCTCCGGTTGAGCCCTAGGTGATATAGTAGATGCCTCAAGATCGGTCGTCAACACTAAGTACACCCTAGTCAATACCGGTGATGATAAATGGATAATATACCCATCGTTCGGGGGCAAACTGTTCGACTTAGACGATGTTGAGAGCACTACCGTCTCCCGAAACAACCCATATACGCTCGTCTTCACTGAAGATGACAAGTGGGTGTTGTTAACCGATAAAGGCGACTGGTTTCTCAATATTAGGCTCGGCTCCCCCTACGTGTTCACGGATAACAAAGACAACTACCTAAACATCATCAGCCCAGTCGCCAGTATGGCAGCCCACATGCTATCGAGTAAACTGGGAATGCAAAACGTGGTATTGCAGTTGGTGTCTGAATTCGAAGGCGTGGTCACCATCCTGGAGAGTCTACCGGTGAACTCAACACTGATCATCAAAGTCTACCTAGGGGAACCATAGCGGGGTGATGTCGAGATCGTGAAGGGGATCAAACTCGGGTGGGCGAAACGACACCAGTATCACGTTTGCACAGTTTACGTGTGGGTGGGTGTCGGCTCCAACACCAGTCTGCAGGGTGTAACCGTGATCGTGGAAAACATGATATCACTAACCAAGATGTTCCTACCTGACAACATACACTTTATGGGGATGAAATTAACCCCTGAACTATTATCAGAAAACCAGTTGGAAACTATATCGTAGTAGTATTATAGCAATGACCAGTCATCGGCCCAACGCTACGCTGAACGACCTAGGGGACACGGAGGGGTTCGATCAGCCTGGTGAGGAAGGTGGCTCATACGTCCTACACTTGAAAGACAACGTGTATAGGCGGGCGGCAATGGCCGATCATCTACCCAAAATCACACTAGGGGGTCTAGGAGACATGGAGGGATTCGATCAGCCTTGCAAGGAAGACACCTCTTACGTCCTACGCTTGAAAGACAACGTGTATAGGCGGTTGGAAATAGCCGATTGGCGCCTGCACGACCACTTTCTAGAACCCAAATGGTTGCTCGGCATAACCCTCACCACACCTTACGTCTCTTTTCGTAATGGTGGACCTATCACTAGGGATATCGCTGAAATTAAGAACAGCGGTATCTTGCTCGGGGGGTTTCAATCCGACGGCCCTCAAAATATGAGAATTTCCCAAACCCCAAATCACCCGCGTTACATGTTGGATACAACGGGGAATGCACGGTTATCATTTAAGATATACTGTGACCTACCACCATTTTCTAGGTTTATGACTCCAGGCTCCACATTAATCATAATACTCTTTTTAAAAACCGTCCATAGGTCCGCATGGTACCTTTTATCTGGGGTGCAAATAACCCCACATGCTGATGCCTATAGAGACCGCCATTGTAGTATCATTATACGGCGGGACTCGGGGCCCGGTGAGGGGTTGCTGCCCCCCTTAATAAGCTCCAGTATATTTAGAAGTTCCCCATCTTTACCTATTGACCTTTCCTCTATTCACCTACCCGAGGACGTAGGCCTTATAAACTTCAAGTACGTTGATCGGCTATTAACTGATACCCAATTAAAAAATATTTTATCAGATATATTATAGGCACACAGAATGGGTCTATACCCAGTCGTAGAGGAAGTAGCGAAGACCCTGGAAACTGTAGACGGGTTCCGTTTGAGACAATTATGTGATGTAAAACGCCAACTAGAACAAGACCGCGACACGCGTAAAGCACTATGTAAGAAGTACCATAGAGCTTTCAATATCGTGGACGGGGTTGATACTGCCCTTATGACAATCAGCATGGGGCTAGGAGCGGCAGGTGTTGGGTTGTTAGCTACCATCGTGGCTACCCCCGTAGTGCTAGGTATTGAAATAACAGCTGGGGTGGCAGGGGTGTTAGGGTTGGCGCTTAAGTTTACATCACGTAGACTGCATCGTATGGCATTGAAACACGACGAGATCAGGGTTCTGGCCGAAGCAAATGAACACTGTAAGTGAGCGTATTTCCACGGCACTCACTGACAAGAAGATCTCAGAGGAGGAATTTCGTTCAATCGTCTCTGAACTCACAAAATATAACAAAATGAAACAAGAGATTCGATCCAAGTCTCGTAAGTCTGCTATCAGCGAGGACGAGAAAAAAAAGTACATAGAACAAGGGGTGAAAAAAGCCCAGCAAGCCTTTATTACAAACACCAAAGAGATTATAGGCGATTCACATTAAACTGTTTCATCAAGGTAAACGTGACATAGCGGCACAATAGTGTCATAGCGGCACGTTAGACGCAGCCCAGCTTTGCATGATGCAATCCCAGGATAGACCCGTTAAACCGACATACTTCAGCCATGTCCCTGGTAGCTCAGTCGGTTAAGTGGGGCGGTTGTGAGGTGTACATGTGGGGTTCGTATCCCGCTGGCGTTTCAAACTTTTTATAAGATCGGGAAAGCAGTAGGGGTAATGGTAGCTGGATCAAGGGTCCGACCAAAGCCTTGTTTGGGAAATAAGGCTTTGCAGAGGTTTTTGTTGGACTTGGTCCCAAACCCCCATTGTATATACTACTACGCACAGTTGTCCAAGTCACATAGTCTGAACATAAGAGTGAGTCAATTAGGCTCCAGATATTTTACACATATATTGTATATATACTCATAGAAACGAATAAGGGAACACATTAAAGTACAAGTGTTCTGTTATCTATTTCCAGAATTTCACTCACAGTGCAAAACATACCTTGTGAAGAAACCTGGAAAAGAATAAAGGAACACATGTACCTTCATGTGTTCCCTTATTCGTTTCCATGAGTATATTTTATAGCTAAAATGGATTGAATTATCATTAAAACGGCCGCATGTTATCAGACATGAGCGGGCCACTGTAACCTGATAATGCCCCCAAATTGCTTGACGACAGACCATTATCATGCTCGTTGTTAGATGACGTAAAGAGCTCAGCTATTGATGTTCAATCATCAAGCTCGTTTGAACTTGGGTTCAATATTGACGATATTTCTGACTCACATTCGTCACATGTCCCTGTGTCATTATGAACTTTCTTGCCGGTGCCAACCGTACCAACTGTACCATAAATTACAGCATGCAGCAATGAAAACATCGACTGGATCTCTATCGTTGTTGAGCATTAAAACAAATGGCGGCTGGTAGTATTGGCAAAGGTCAAGGTCGAATGTCTAATATCTGTTTTGTCCTATGACATTTGCATATTTGTAAAAAGGGTGTCGGTGACCTCCGTCGTTTGTTGTTAGCAGTAAATGCTTCAAAACCTATACCGTTGTTTGTTTTTATTTTATTAAAAATTCTATCCGTTTTAGCTATAATAACAGTAACGCTATTTTTCAGGGCATTGTCATCTGCAGAAGCCCTTGGTCTTTTCTGATCGTGTCGGGCTTCTGCATGTGATAATGGCCTGAAAAATAGCATTACCCTTATAATATTGGGGCCTATTCTTTACCTGGTATCTTCACGCATATCTTCCTTTCATTAACCCATAAGGTGCTAACATAAAGTCGGTATAACCGTAAAGTGACGACTCATAGAGCTCAGGTCACAAATCAGTTGAAGGTAAGCAACGTTGAGCTCGGAGATTTATCATTTGGTCCCTTACTCGGTAGTCATCACCTTAATTTGGCAAGAATGACGTCGCTGAGTTCGGACTGGTATCCTTTATAGAACCGTGTTTCATTTACAGCAATTTTTGTTAGTCTGTATGGCACTGGGTTCTCCTGTAATGAACCGGTTCTAAAGTTCATGTTCAGAAAACAAAGTTTAACTTAACTTATAACGTTACAATGCAGAAAATAAGAAACACATAAATGTAGTTGTTGTTATATATGCATAACACAAGAAGATGAATACAACCCATCCAGGGAAAGGTCATGATTTCAACTGACAGGATCTGTCATGGAATAAGTATGCTCGCTTTCATTCGTTAGATGCGGTTTGAAACACGGGCATGTTTGGTGTGTCTGATTGAACTAGATCGGACTAATACCCATTGAAAAGAGCCTACTCACCGTGCTCAGCTTCGTATGTTGCAGAACAATGTCCGTTCACATGGTGCAAGTGTTGCAGTAGCGTACCACTGCTAAAGTGCCGGTTGTTTCTCCTGATCTTTCCCTCCCGACATGAAATAGAGGGGCGGCTGCGACCACTTGTTCCAAATGCTGCGACAATATAGTTCCCCCAACTTTACGGGTCAGGTTGTCGTTACACTTTTAATGAATGTGGGAGAAACTGCTGTGGTCAAAAGAGTTACATGAAAACAGTTTATTGTACCCAGCACAATGGAAAACTCAAATGGTAAATGGGTTATCGATTATAATCAGATGCCATTCTTCATCCACAGAAAGACATATAGATATAATCATACAATAAAGTCAGTCGGGTGTGATTTCATTCGATACACACTTCTTGCTGTGCTGCCTGAGTTTACAGGGAACTGAAATAGATGTTCCCATTTAGACGAATATGTTCATCATCATCCTGCACAGCTAATTGTTTGATGTTGATGAGACCATTACCAAAAGCATTGTTTATTGACAAAATGGCTGACTTATATTATCATTACTGTTTATGTCCGCAGCACTGGGGCATTCCTTTGAGTCGGCGATTCCGGGCCATAAAACTGTGGTTCGTTATTCGAACCTATGGATTGGAGGGGCTCCAACATCGTATTAGAGAGGTATGTTGACCAGTTTTCCTACAAAATCCCCCAAACGCTGTTTCGTAGGATAATGGGGCCAGTAATTTTCGCGAGGTGTCTACTTCCGGTACTAAGCTGCTTCACGGCTCCCTTTGCGCGCACCAACTTGCAATATGCAAGACGGGGACCAACTTACTTCCGGTACCAGATTGCGGGTGACAAGTGCATTCATCCCCACTCGCCCCTTTCCATAACCTCCAAGAAGACTCGTCCCTGTCTCGATGCTTGTTATGTGCGAAAATACGACAAACCAATTAGAACGCGCGTAATGATTGCGGTGCTTTGATAAAAATAATCCCGAGTTCGTAAATCGTTTATTGCATTATGTCATTGTTTAAAAGTCATGAAAAATATATATCGTCATGTTGAAAGTACAAAGAACGTAGCTCAGAGAATTGTGCTGCCTAATGGGAAGTTTAATAAGTAAAATGCGATTGACGGTGAGAGATTGAAACACACGCACGTGCGTTTGTTTAAAAAACAACTCTGATGGGTCTTATTGGGTGTATTTCTGACCATCTTGCGGGCTTCTCCTAGAGATTGTACGTGCGCTTTCCAACATTTTTAGGAAATATAGTTATAAATCGTTACGAGTTTCCAAACAATAATATTATTATCTATATGTAACTGATCAATTTTAATCTTTAATATTGGGCTTATTTCCTTATTTTAGTCTGACTTTTGGGGGGTCATTCATATATTTTTCAGCGTATTCATTTTAAAATCCACCAGGGGGTAGGCAGTAAGGTGTATGTTCAGTTTGAGAAATACTTTGAAGTCAGTTTTGAGTATCTGCTCTGGGATTTAATGCAGCTGAATTATTTTTTTTTATTTGCATATTTGTGATTCTTAAACCCTATTCAAAATTAAACACTTGGAAATATAAGGTGAACAGCTGGTAATAATTACGTTAGAATGTGTTTTAACACGTTTTCACCCTTCTTTAGTTGTAGGTGTTTAATTCTTCAAAATAAATAAATAAAAATAAAAACGAAAACAAAAACAGCCATACATAAAAGAGAGCTTCGGTGATATTAAGTACCACTGGGATCAAACAGGAATAGACTTATCGATCTTGTTTGAAGTAGTTCTGACGTTGATGCGCCAATCCTTCAAGAGGGGTACAAGTCGTGTTTCGGCTTGTTCCGGAATAACACGAGTTGGCCACGAATATGACAAGCGTTTATTCAAGAACCTGTTGACAGTCGTAATAGTTGGCTAATTTGGGGATGGTTAGATTTGGTTGTTATTCCTGCATTCGAAAAGGTATGAAACGTTGTTTGCCAACGTTAAGGTCTCGCGAAGTGCCGTGACCTACGTATAGGCCCTATATATGGACATATTGATTAAGCATATTATACAACATATGAATATGTATGCCCATTCATATTCATATTCATATCCATAGAAGATATAGTATGTATGACGCTTCCGTATAAGTGACCCATTACCCTTACACCTTCATTCACCCATACACTGTAACTTCACTTTCATCTCGTGACCTGAAACGTCATTTTGGATTTTGTCACAATCAATACGTGCAAAAGGCGTGCTTTTATTTCTTTCAATATGCAAGGGCTGTGACGTTAAAGTGGGTTTAATTTCGCGGTCAAATTTATTGCGCTTGTAGAGCGACACGTCTATGTGTACGTACACGTACATGTGCGTGCGTGTGTGCATGCTCACTCGCATGTTCTTGTGTTTGACTGTACTAGTCCGGACTAATACCCGTTGAAAAGAGCGCTGTAACCTTGCCGCAGTGAGACATGGGCTCCCCAATCAGTACACGCTACACTATCCGTGTGTCTGGCGACAGTCAGGATGTAGACATGTTCAGAGTAATGGGCTCTATATCTAACATGACCGCCAAACCAGCTTTCTAAGAAACATAGATACCAAATCATATTAAGTACAAAGGATGTATGAACTATTGCAAAAGGAATACCTTAGGTAAAACCATATGTCTGAAATTCGATTTTATAGGATATATGGCAGGTTTATCTACATCAAATATACAAATTATTGTGATTTGTATCGATGCCGTTGTTAATGGCAGGTAATAATGATTTCTTAACTCGCTGGATGAAAGTGTCAAGGGCCGGTGATCCGATGCCAGTTGTGATCGATCATAAGCAAACATCAATAACGGCAGCTCATCTTGTTGACGAGGTTTTGTACAAAATACATTAAATGTTACTGGCTTCATCAAACATGACACGGTTTTCGCTAAATGTTAAGTGTTGACCATTTAAACTGTTGCAGAATCTATGTATTGCAGAGTGTTGACCATTTAAACTGTTGCAGAATCTATGTATTGCCGAGTGTTGACCATTTAAACTGTTGCACTTTAACCTCGTTTAAGCAGAATCTATGTATTGCCGACCTGAAAGACCAACTCCAGAGTTATTTATGGCCCTTATGCTGTTATTGTTGTTTCAAACATACTGGCATTTGGGGTTGAACAATTATTCGCAATGAGTGTTTGTGTGTGACAGTCTTTGTTGACATTTGAAACTGTTGACTACGTATCCCGGCGAGTCACAGTTCCGCTTCAGTGTTTTTGTAGTTTGTTAAAATGTGCCATGTGCATATATGTTTCACATGTATCTGTTGCAGCATGTGCGTCTTGCAAAGCTGTTTAAGAAGTTGGTGGAGACTGACGATCGTTTTGAAATCATGGGTGAAGTGACGATGGGTTTAGTTTGCTTTCGGTTACAGGTACTGTGATGCTTGTGTGTTTCTCACTGTAGTTTTCTTCCCAACCACACATCTTACTTAGTGCAGTGAAAAGAAAGATTCAACCAATTTTTTCTATAGCGAGGGACATAGTAAAAGATCCATATTTGCCAGATGCATTCATGTCTTTCAGAGGCATTTAGAAGTTGTACATAGATGTCCAAGATATTTTTACGGATTAAACTTCTTTTTTATTTCCCTCACGACGTTTCGGGACCATTCCAGGTCCCTTCATCAGGTGAAAACAAGAAGTTTTAACCCATACAAATATCTTGGACAGAGATGCATTCAGTTTGAAAATAACTGTATCAGACCGAGTTTATTCTACCGACACAACTTGCTTCAAAGCTTGGTTGGTTTGTTGTTTAACGCCGCACTCAGCAATATTACAGCTATGTGGCGGCGGTCTATAAATAATCTAGCATGAGCATCGATCTACACAACTGGGAAACGATTACGTGTGTCAACCAAATCAGCGAGCCTGACCACCCGATCCTGTTAGTCGCCTCTTACAACGAGCATGCTGAAGGTAAATTCTAACACAGATCTTCACGGGTCTGCTTCTAAAGCATTTTAAGACATAAGACAGACAAGGAAGAACCTGCTTTATACAGGTACAGGTATTTGAGACACTTAGACCATTCACGTGGATCCAAACATCTTGGATCAGCGATGAGTTTAATACTGACGAAACGTTAAGCTTTTAAACTTTTGAGATCATTGTATGTACTTCATGAAATCGTTACCTTACAAGTTCTAAAGGAATACAGAAAATCGACTCAAAATGAGTAGTGTGTCATTATGTAGTTATAAAAATACATATCCAGTCCCGATACTAGTCTACATAACCTGGACAGAGTACATATCCAGTCCCGATACTAGTCTACATAACCTCGACAGAGTACATATCCAGTCCCGATACCTGTCTACATCACCACGACAGAGTACACATCCAGTCCCGATACTAGTCTACATAACCTCGACAGAATACATATCCAGTCCCGATACTAGTCTACATAACCTCGACAGAGTACACATCCAGTCCCGATACTAGTCTACATAACCTCGACAGAGTACATATCTAGTCCCGATACTAGTCTACATAACCTCGACAGAGTACATATCCAGTCCCTATACAAGTCTACATAACCTGGACAGAGCACACATCCAGTCCCGATACTAGTCTACATAACCTGGACAGAGTACATATCTAGTCCCGATACTAGTCTACATAACCATTTACAGAGTACACATCCAGTCCCGATACTAGTCCACATAACCTCGACAGAGTACATATCCAGTCCCGATACCAGTCTACATAACCACGACAGAGTACACATCCAGTCCCGATACTAGTCGACATAACCTCGACAGAGTACATATCCAGTCCCGATACTAGTCTACATAACCTCGACAGAGTACATATCGAGTCACGATACTAGTCTACATAACCTCGACAGAGTACATGTCCAGTCCCGATACTAGTCTACATAACCTCGACAGAGTACATGTCCAGTCCCGATACTAGACTACATAACCTCGACAGAGTACACATCCAGTCCCGATACTAGTCTACATAACCTCGACAGAGTACATATGCAGTCCCGATACTAGTCTACATAACCTGGACAGAGTACATATCCAGTCCCGATACTAGTCTACATAACCTGGACAGAGTACATATCCAGTCCCGATACTAGTCTACATAACCTGGACAGAGTACATATCCAGTCCCGATACTAGTCTACATAACCTCGACAGAGTACATATCAAGTCCCGATACTAGTCTACATAACCTGGACAGAGTACATATCCAGTCCCGATACTAGTCTACATAACCTCGACAGAGTACATATCCAGTCCCGATACTAGTCTACATAACCTCGACAGAGTACATATCCAGTTCCGATACTAGTCTACATAACCTCGACAGAGTACATATCCAGTCCCGATACTAGTCTACATAACCTCGACAGAGTACATATCCAGTCCCGATACTAGTCTACATATCCTGGACAGAGTACATATCCAGTCCCGATACTAGTCTACATAACCTGGACAGAGTACATATCCAGTCCCGATACTAGTCTACATAACCTGGACAGATTACATATCCAGTCCCGATACTAGTCTACATAACCTGGACAGAGTACATATCCAGTCCCGATACTAGTCTACATAACCTGGACAGAGTACACATCCAGTCCCGATACTAGTCTACATAACCTCGACAGAGTACATATCCAGTCCCGATACTAGTCTACATAACCTCGACAGAGTACATATGCAGTCCCGATACTAGTCTACATAACCTGGACAGAGTACATATCCAGTCCCGATACTAGTCTACATAACCTGGACAGAGTACATATCCAGTCCCGATACTAGTCTACATTACCTCGACAGAGTACATATCCAGTCCCGATACTAGTCTACATAACCTCGACAGAGTACATATCCAGTCCCGATACTAGTCTACATAACCTCGACAGAGTACATATCCAGTCCCGATACTAGTCTACATAACCTGGACAGAGTACATATCCAGTCCCGATACTAGTCTACATAACCTGGACAGACTACATATGCAGTCCGGATACTAGTCTATATAACCTGGACTGAGTACACATCCAGTCCCGATACTAGTCTACATAACCTCGACAGAATACATATCCAGTCCCGATACTAGTCTACATAACCTCGACAGAGTACACATCCAGTCCCGATACTAGTCTACATAACCTCGACAGAGTACATATCTAGTCCCGATACTAGTCTACATAACCTCGACAGAGTACATATCCAGTCCCGATACAAGTCTACATAACCTGGACAGAGTACATATCCAGTCCCGATACTAGTCTACATAACCTCGACAGAGTACATATCTAGTCCCGATACTAGTCTACATAACCTCGACAGAGTACATATCCAGTCCCGATACTAGTCTACATAACCTGGAGAAAGCACACATCCAGTCCCGATACTAGTCTACATAACCTAGACAGAGTACATATCTAGTCACGATACTAGTCTACATTACCTCGACAGAGTACATATCTAGTCACGATACTAGTCTACATAACCTCGACAGAGTACATATCCAGTCCCGATACTAGTCTACATAACCTCGACAGAGTACATATCCAGTCCCGATACTAGTCTACATAACCTGGACTGAGTACACATCCAGTCCCGATACTAGTCTACATAACCTCGACAGAGTACATATCCAGTCCCGATACTAGTCTACATAACCTCGACAGAGTACACATCCAGTCCCGATACTAGTCTACATAACCTCGACAGAGTACATATCCAGTCCCGATACTAGTCTACATAACCTCGACAGAGTACATATCCAGTCCCGATACAAGTCTACATAACCTTGACAGAGTACACATCCAGTCCCGATACTAGTCTACATAACCTAGACAGAGTACATATCTAGTCCCGATACTAGTCTACATAACCATTTACAGAGTACACATCCAGTCCCGATACTAGTCGACATAACAACGACAGAGTACATGTCCAGTCCCGATACTAGTCTACATAACCTCGACAGAGTACACATCCAGTCCCGATACTAGTCTACATAACCTCGACAGAGTACATATCTAGTCCCGATACTAGTCTACATAACCTCGACAGAGTACATATCCAGTCCCGATACTAGTCTACATAACCTCGACAGAGTACATATCGAGTCCCGATACTAGTCTACATAACCTCGACAGAGTACATGTCCAGTCCCGATACTAGTCTACATAACCTCGACAGAGTACATGTCCAGTCCCGATACTAGACTACATAACCTCGACAGAGTACATATCCAGTCCCGATACTAGTCTACATAACCTCGACAGAGTACATATGCAGTCCCGATACTAGTCTACATAACCTGGACAGAGTACATATCCAGTCCCGATACTAGTCTACATAACCTGGACAGAGTACATATCCAGTCCCGATACTAGTCTACATAACCTGGAGAGAGCACACATCCAGTCCCGATACTAGTCTACATAACCTCGACAGAGTACATATATAGTCACGATACTAGTCTACATAACCTCGACAGAGTACATATCCAGTCCCGATACTAGTCTACATAACCTCGACAGAGTACACATCCAGTCCCGATACTAGTCTACATAACCTCGACAGAGTACATATCTAGTCCCGATACTAGTCTACATAACCTCGACAGAGTACATATCCAGTCCCGATACAAGTCTACATAACCTTGACAGAGCACACATCCAGTCCCGATACTAGTCTACATAACCTAGACAGAGTACATATCTAGTCCCGATACTAGTCTACATAACCATTTACAGAGTACACATCCAGTCCCGATACTAGTCGACATAACCTCGACAGAGTACATGTCCAGTCCCGATACTAGTCTACATAACCTCGACAGAGTACACATCCAGTCCCGATACTAGTCTACATAACCTCGACAGAGTACATATCTAGTCCCGATACTAGTCTACATAACCTCGACAGAGTACATATCCAGTCCCGATACAAGTCTACATAACCACGACAGAGTACACATCCAGTCCCGATACTAGTCGACATAACCTCGACAGAGTACATATCCAGTCCCGATACTAGTCTACATAACCTCGACAGAGTACATATCGAGTCACGATACTAGTCTACATAACCTCGACAGAGTACATGTCCAGTCCCGATACTAGTCTACATAACCTCGACAGAGTACATATCCAGTCCCGATACTAGACTACATAACCTCGACAGAGTACATATCCAGTCCCGATACTAGTCTACATAACCTCGACAGAGTACATATCCAGTCCCGATACTAGTCTACATAACCTGGACAGAGTACATATCCAGTCCCGATACTAGTCTACATAACCTGGACAGAGTACATATCCAGTCCCGATACTAGTCTACATAACCTGGAGAGAGCACACATCCAGTCCCGATACTAGTCTACATAACCT